TGGTCAGACAGAAAGGTATGTTTAAATCTACAAACATATGTATGAAAATCTAACTATATTATGTATGATTATTTCAGTACAAAAGTTAAGAGAAATTAAGTCTGAGCGTTCTAAAATAAAAATAAGAAAAAACTTAATTAAGATGAAATATGATCAAACTGTTACACAAATTGAGGACTGCAAGAAGATGAAATTAGTTTGTGAATATTTAATGCCAAGTACTTGTAAAGAGTTAGATCCTAAATTACTAACGGAAATGTTAAATTTAGTGTCGACTTTCTGGGATGGAGCAAATAAAAAACAAGTATGCATACAAATAAAATATAATTTGAATAAAGAACAGTTAAAATTTACAATAAATTTTTTAGATATGTGATACGATATCAAACAATCTTAATATTGAAGTTCCTACATTATGGTGTCACTTGAATAAGAATTTGACACAAAGTGTAGATATGTTAATGAAGATGGTAACTTCCAAACCTTTGGACATGGGTATACAAAATTTAAATATTGGTATTGCCAAAATATATGGCCAACAGATTTCTATGGTTACAAAGCGATTATGGTGTAATGCACAAGCAGATAATCATCAGCAAAGTATTCTTGAACTTACAGAGAAAATTGAGGTATGTGTGTAAGGATTATCCGCGAAACGAGTATAAAACTTCTTAGACTCACTGTTAATTTTCTATTGTGATACTATCAGCAATTAATAGTTAAATTATTAGGTCATTAAGTATGAAATGTCCGATTTTGAGATTGAAAGTTTGGTTTATTATATCTCTGGCCTTGCTCTCAGGTTGCCTGCGTGGTTCATTCTGGATATCAAAATCTCCAAATCGGAATTTTTCAAACCATCGACGTACTGTACGTTCATTAGCCACATCCTTGCCGAACACCTCGTTAACATTTCGACTTGTCTGCGCTGCATTAATTCCACGACGGAACTCATATTCGAAAATAACCCGAATTTTTTACTTATCCATGGATTACAATATTTAATCCTCAGACGACAATACGATAGACAATTGAAAACAAAAGAGTGCGACTGAAAGCCAGATGGCGTATCCCTTCCCACTGCAAAAAAACAAAGGACATTAGGTAATCGGACATTTCATACTTAATGGCCTAATAATAGTTATGTTAGTCTGAGAATGATATAAATTAAATAAAAACGTCGGTAATAGTATCCGTACTTACTGTACTGTTTTTATTATGCATAATTTTAAATATAAATAAACTGTTACTTTAGGCAGGTTCAAACAATTCACCAGATATTATTACATGGCTTGCATTAGCATTGGAAGTTTGCAAGCTAGAAATTGAACAAAAACGTTTAGGTGATGAAGTTATAAAAATTCGAGAACACTTAAATGAGAACAGTACATTAGCATTTGAATTAGCTGAATTGATTTCAGAAATAGAAGACATCGATAAGAAAATAGTATGTTATCTTTTTAAAATCCTTGTGTTACTAGTTACATTATACATTAATTAAAAACCGATTGTAGATGACATATGCAGAATGTATACAACAATCATTAAATCATTTGAAATCTTTGCCGGAGCATATTATGAAAATAAGGAATGAGATGAGTTCAGTATTGCAAAAAATATTAACACTGAGAAACAATTTTAGTGACTACTCATGCTTGAAAAACAGTTTAAGGACTGAATTGAGTATGTTTCATGACATCTTGGATTGTAATGCTTTGAGGAAGATTAAATTAAAAAACGATGTTGGAATTTACAGGTTCGTTTATTAATATTTCATTATTATATCTTATAAAAATTTACATACGATGTGAAACTATTAAATTTGATTTGTCTATTATTCACCATTTTCAGACATAAAAGTATGTGTATCACAGAAGTGTCTCTCTTGGTTCCTAATAATCAAGCTACACATATCGTTCACTATTTTCCAATGATTCACTCACCAACATACTCTTTACTAGAATATTACAGAAATTTCACTTTAATGTTGTTTCACAAACGATTTAATTCTTTTGAAATTGAAGAGAATTTAGATACTTTGCAACTGTCTGCATTGAAACACGAAGGATATGATTGTAATATACTTGAATTGTTAAATTTATCGAAAACTATAAATATAAAGACAAAAGATGAAATTAACGAATTTAATAGAATACTAAACGATTGGTACGTAATTCAATGAGAATATTTTTTAAGAATGCAATTACTTACAAAACTATTTTTTTGTATATTTTATTACATTGTACAATTTATTCTACTTTGTATTATATTTGTAGGGTACATCATACAGTTGAAGAAGTAATGAATATTGTTGAGACTGTCGTAGATGGTGCCACTTTTCCAGAATGGGTTGAGCGTTATAATTTATTACTATATATAATTCAGAAGTCTAAATAGTGTTTTATACAATTTGTAATTTATTTTATACTTTTATAATTCTCGTTATTATACCCTTTTTAACTCGTAATACATTAAGGATGAGTGTTAATGTTCTTAGTCTTTTTAATATTCGACCGCAAGTAATGCAGTCGAACGTATAATCCCCCCCCCCCCCCCCCCCCCCCCCATTTGGATTCGCGGGGCAATATGTACCTCTTTCGGTGCCGAATCAACTACATACCGCCATTCTTCAACTTTTCTTGGCAGTCATGGCATGTGTACTTTACCTTGGACATCAACTGGCTAGGTCTGGTCATGAAATTTGCAAGAAAAGCTTTTGTCTATTATTACCATTGTTTCAGTCTCCTGTCACTGAGTCCCATGCTTCCTCCTGCGTTTCTACCAACACCAGTAACATGCCACGCGCCTAAACACACTTGTAATGTTACAAGAGTAGTCATGCGAGAATCCAGCTCGGTTCTCAGCGTCATTCACATCCATGGGAACGACCACGTCTTGCCGAGGTTCGTTACGAGTTTTTTATTTTTTTTGTCATTCCAAGTAATAGCACAATTTCAAAAAAGTATTACATATAGTCATTGACTAGTAGACTAGACCCTCTATTATCTAAAAAATGTTCAAGACATTTGGCTCAATCTTAAAAAAGTTACTTCATTTGAGATACTGATAATGCAACATATTGACACAATTTAAAAATAGATAATTATTTATGCTAATATAGTTGGCAGATTTAAAATATTTACGGTAAACAGTTTTTATGACAATACGAAATGTAGACAGTGAAAGGAAGGCGAAAACATATGGATAGATGATAATAGTTTTCCGGAAGCAGATCTGGTGAGCGAAGAATAGGAATATTATGGATGGAGGAGAAAACAAGGTCCAGAAGTACATTATGGTTATTATTTAATTGAGTGAAATTGAAAAAACTTAAAATTCACGAATAAATTCGAGCGGAGAAGGTAGATCATTGTGATATTGAGTGGATAAATTTGGTAGAGGAGGGTGAGAAAAATCAGGGAGATTATAATTACTCGAGTTTGACTCATCATCTTCCAGATAATTACCTTCATTTGAAATCCTTCGTTCAGCTGTAGGGATGAAGAACAGCGATCACGAGCCAAGTGCTGCGGCCCCTTCTACTTAGTTTCGGTGTGGCTGGCACTCCGTGGCTTTTCTAATATACATTAGAGATGTTGCAAGAGTCCTTGCGAATTCAGAGGGGCCTAACACTGCATGTCGTTATGAAATTCGCGTTCTTCGGAAAGGCAATAGGGTTCGCCGAGGCTCTGGAGGCAACTGAACCGACTCGGTGGAATTCGCAGAAAATGATTCGCCTGGCCATTCCAGGACAGGAAACTGTTGAGCGAGTGCTTGAGTAGTTAAAATTGTCTTTTTTTACGTGGAGGTAATCACTCATTACGGATATCCCAGCTTCCGCGGGAGAGTGGCTGAGGTTGTGTGGGGCTCCCTCGGCCTATTTAACAAGAAACACTTCCACGTTCGTCCCTATGTGGTGCGCCTCTGTGATTCGAGCGTACGTCAAACCCGAGACTTCTACTTCTACATATCTCCACGATGTGGTTGCAATTGTCATTCCAAGTAATAGCAAAATTTAAAAGAAGTACTGCAGTCATTACGTAATGGATTAGTACTTTTAAAAAGTGGACAACTAAAATATCCTAATGGTTCATGCATTAGATCAACTCAGAACTTAACTCTTATGTTAAGTTTCTAATCAAATAAATCGTGCGTGATTAATAACCACTCTATAGTTATAAGAGTAACTTAGTACTTTTTTTATGAGGAATGTGTCATTAAAAAACTTTAAGTAACCGTATAATTTAAAAAGAAATTGATTTTAAGTTATTTAAGTTATTCCGAGTATTTATGTTTATCGATAATTAATTAGTGGAGACGTTTATGAGCCCCTCCCTGTGTATTGAAGTACATTCATTGATACGTGTTAGACATATTCAGTAATTTAAAGCGCATAATCTCAACAGATTCGACATAGAATCATTGAAAACTAAGAACTGTTTATTTGACCTCCGAAAGAATCGACACCTTGTACAGGGTGTCACAAAATTATATGTTACGATCACCATAGCGGGATTCTACATTTTTGTATCGATGGAGACTTGTTAAAAAATATTGGGATTATGGCTTGGATTATTTCTCAAATGAATATGATATTAATTCTTTTTCTTAAAAGTTTTATTTTTACTGTTATTTGAGAGAAGGTATACATATATACGAAATGACTGAGCGACCAAATTCAACTGAGAGACCGGCAACTGAAAATCGCCTGCTTATATACCCTTTTGGTGTGGTCTTCTCCACCAATCAAAGACGGTCATTCATCGCGTCTTACATTGTATACGCGGTATTGGGATCACTAACAGTCAGAGCACGATGTGTTCTAACGACACCGGCGATGGTACATCGCGGTAACTTTGATATACAGTTTACATCACCGTCGGTGCGCGTTGACGGAACCGGCGGAAACGTAATCTGATATTTTCGAATCTCAGTCCTAAGTAAACTATAGATTAATCTTTGTGTCCGAGACTAAAGTTTCTTTTTTCAACAAAAACAATGTTAAAGACGACATATAAAAATTATATGTCACGGTCACCATACCCAAAGTCGCGGTACAACCGGGCGGGTTGTGATTCTATAAAATGAAACGAAGAAAGAAACATTTTTTTTATTTAAGACTTCGTTTTCGAGAAAACTGACAAGGGAAGTTTGAAAACCTAGAAATTCAATAAAATATGAAACCTCCGTGTTCAAGTAAAGAAAGTCATCTATATACATTTTTCGTTCGTGCCACAATTCACTTTTAAGGGATGATTTCATCCCTTGAAGAGAATGAAAAATTATCTTTCTCGTCGAATATCTCAAGAACGATGCGAATGTGTAAAAATATTTTTCAAAAAATCGATACTTTTTGAGTTAAACTCTCCACAACTCCTCAAATTTTATTTTCTGATTTTTTAAAATTTAAATTGAAGTGATTTTCTATACCCCCTCTATCCATTCTCATAAAATACTTTACTTTTTACATATTTAAATCGTATTTAAATCGAGGAATTAATAATAATTAATTAATAATAATAATAAATAATAATTTAAATCGAATTTAAAGTCTGCTGTAGTATTTTTATTATTAGAATGGTTTCATCACAGACAACTTATATTATCATTTATGGTGTACGATTCGTAATGGCAGCAAATATAGACATTCTTTTTGTTAACACCCGATACATTAGAATTCGCATGATTATTGTGAAAACAACTAATATTTGAGGGCAGTGTGAGCAAACTCAACATTTTGCCATTTCATTTTATTCCATACTATTAAAATAATTGTATTTATTGTATTTTTCTTGTTCAGCAGAATTTTTTCAACAGAAACACGTTTCTCTTAAAACATGTCTTTGTTGATTGTATCTCAATCATTTGACAAATTAAAAATAGTACAGTAATGATACTGATTGTAAAAATGTCCAAAATAGAAATACTCGCCACATCACGAACATCTTATAAAAGCGAGCGTCCCACAAACATTAAAGTTGGGCACACTTTTCTGGTTTTTAAAATAACAAAAATCCACAGGATTTTCAAAGACCCCAGAATGCACTCCTAAATATCCGCTTTTAAACCAAACATATATAAAAACGTTTTGGAATCTGGGTGTGTCAAATTTATATCTGTCTCTTGAAAATTATTTCAAAATATGTATTCAAGCATATATATCCTAATATATCGTATTTTAAAAGACAAACAGTCCGATAAGATATTACATTAAGCATGCACGTACACATGTCTGTATGTGCTGCCATTACAAATCTTACATGTGTATCTTAAACCGTTCTTGAGATATTCAGCGAAAAAGATAATTTTACATTCTCCTTAACCGTTTGACTGCTGAGGAGCGCTATCGCGCTCTTCTTATGTTGTACCAAAAATGCGAAGAGCGCTCCTGCTTTTTTTTATGCCAAGACTGCGGAGAGCGTAATAACGCTGCTCTAAATCACTAGAATTTATGCGTTCAGTGAAGCGCGTTGCGTTTGTGGAGCATATGATTTTTAATTTTTGTAATAATATTACATATTTCAAATCTACTTTCTTTTTTTCTGTTAAATAACGGTGAAAACAATGCCTAATATTTGGAGTGAAACTGACTCGGAATCGTGGACTGGTGATGAAGATCAAATTTGTGACAACGAAAGTGATAGCGGAAGTGATATTATTATTCCTAAAAAGAGATTACGGGCTATTAGCGAGAGCAGCGATGATGAACTAAATGGAGACTGCACCGAACATGCCTCTGTTGATGAATTTGTGCCGTAGTTTTGGCATATGTCCGAAAAAATACGTCAGCAGCCAAACGGTTAAGGAGCGAAATCACCGCTTAAAATTGAATTATGGCACGAACGAAAAATAGTTATATGTTATGCACGACTTACTTTACTTGTATACGGAGCTTGATATCTTTTGAATTTCTGGATTCCCGAACTTTCCTTCTTAATCAATATTAGAAATTGTCGAATAAAATAGGAAATGTTAGTTATCGGCATCCATTGTTAAAGGCGAAGCAGTCCAGCAGGCCAAATTATTATTTACATTGTACAGACATAAGATGGTTATTTACATCTGCCACAGCTGCTGAACCAGCAGCCTACTGGCGTACTGACTCTGAAGTGATAGGAGATGTAACATGTATACCACTTGTAAAACCATGCAAGTATATAAAATGTAACACCGCTTACTTTATTTTATAAATTTTCTTTCCTACTGGCTATTATTAATGTGATTTCTTGAATAATTGTATAATGTATTAATTGTATGATAATTTTTGATGCTATACTACTTTTTACATCAACTTTTCAATTGAAACCATGAAACTGAAGTTCCAACTGGATAGGAAGTTTCAAAAATGTGATGAACTTATAGCACAGAATCAACGTAACGCCTCGAATCTTCAAGAACATAATAAAATAAACAAAGAAAGCCATGCAATACTTTAAAAATATACTATTTTAATATAGACACTAACTTAATGATATAAAAATACTGGTTTTAATTATTCATCTTACAGTATGAATTAAATTACAGATAATAAAAAATAAATATCACAGATTGCATATCTTGCATCATAACGTATTTTTTACATAAAATCACCGACGCTATAATTAATCCCTTCCATCATTTTTCATAGTGATCGATTATGATAACTCATTCTTATTCGATATATTTTAGTTACTTTTTTTTCGTCTAGATCTTAAACTGCGCGTTTTCAGTTCCGTAGGTGTATCTATTACTGTACACTGAAAAAATAAAGAAATATTAATAATCTATAGAATTATTAAAATTATTTCACACAAAATTACCTCGACTGGCTCAATATCATGAAAAGATTCATCTTCTGCCACGTATAACTTCTTTCTACGCGTATTTTTTCTTCTTTCCGAAAGAGATCCCGTAGGAGGTGGAAACACAGTACTCTTGCCAGTCCGTCTAAAATTAAGTAATAACATTTTTCAATACCCAATTTTATTGTTTGAACTACCATGCAAAGGGCTCATGGATCTTCAATAATAAAATGTAGAAAAAATTTCCTTATAATTATTTGCTGCTCTTAATTCACTCTGTTAAGAAGGAGAACAGCAAGATGATGGAAGATTAAAATGAGCAAGTAGTAATAAAAATGAAAATCTATAGTATAGGCATGTTTATAAAATAAATAAAAGAATATCCTTTTCAGAACCTCCTCATCTATAGTCTAATCTATACAATAACGTTTAAGTTTATACTTGGTCTCTGAACTAGGTAGCTCGATGACGGATCCATCTGATGTAGGAGAATATTTTCTCGGTGGCCGCCTTGTTCTACGTTCTTTTGTTATCACTTCATCCTCTGAAGCGTCATCACAATAGGCTTTTTCTTTAGAATGATGCACAGTTGCCTATAAAAGAAGTATCATAATGAACAATTTGTTCCTAAGCCTTCAACTTCATTAAACAATTTAGTAAGGAAGTGCTACATGTTTTTGTTTCTCTAATTCCTCTTGTTGATTCCTTACTAGTGCCTCATATTTGGTGACCATCTCATCTCTGTTTTTCATAAATGCTTCCATCTCCCGTTCCTTCTCATTCAAACTATTTTTTAGTTCTTGATTCATGTTCCGTAACCTGTCATTTTCTGTTTGCCTTTCTTGAGCACTTTGTTGAAGAATTTCCAAAATCTTAGCATTCTGTTCATATGCTTTAATGCGTGACTCTAAGTTTTCAATATGTTCTTTATTTTGAGAAAGTTTATCCTTTGTTTCTGCCAATTCTTTTATTGTATTCTTTATTTCTGCTTCCATGAGCTTGCCGTCGCTGTCAGCAACATCCGTTTTTTGAATTAGAAATTTTACTTCTGGAATCATGACAAATTTTGTTTTTCTACACTACTGACATAATGATTTATTTAATAACAAATAATATATATATTGACTTACCTTGTTGAAGCGATACTATTTCAGCATCTTTCTCCTGTTCTATATTCTTCGCACTTTCCAAACGGTTCTCAAATTCTAAGAGTTTATCATTACTTTCATCTAACAACTTCTGCAAATGTTCTTTCTCATCTTGACATATTTCTACCTTCTTATTTAATTCTTCAATTTCTTGTTGAAGTTCCGTTATGGTATCAAGTTTGTGTTCCAGTTCTGTGATTTTTGCAGCATGTACATCCAGGCACTGGAAAGAAGAATATAGTGTGACAGAATAAATTACCATGTTTTAAATAATTTATTCTATGTTAACGACAAAAAGTTTTGAAGAATTACAAATTCTTAGATAAAGAAAATAATCTCTTCCCTAATTTCATAAAACGAAAGTTTTCTCAAAACAAATGCTATTAAAAAATTTAGAATATACTTTGTAATAAAATCAATACAAATTTGTCCTATTACATCCAAATACCTTTGTCTCCATATCACTTTTCACTATTGCTGTATGCAGATCAATCTCCAATCGACTTATACTTTCTACGTGTTCATCTTTGCACTGTAATCGTAATCATTAAATATATGTGTATAAACGATTTTATGTTTAAACCTATACTTACCTTTGAAATGAGATTGTCGAAATCAGCATGTAAAGTATTTAATTTCTGCAATTATAGAATAAATGTTAAAGAAGTTGATACCTTTAATATTTATGATACCAATTGTAAAATTATGAAACACTACGTACTTTCATACACTGATTATGATCACTCTTAGTATGTAAAAGTTCTTTTTCAACTTCATTAATAAGTTGCTCATAATCACCAATCTTTATATCTAGTGTAGCCTTAGACTGATCGATATCTTCTAATAATTTTTGAAGATGCGATTCATCATCCACATCTCGAGACAGCTGCTTCTTTAACAATTCAATCGAGTTTTTATATTCTTCTAAAACAAGCTTATTTGCTATATTTTCTTTTGTCAGACTTTCTAGTTTTTGCGTCAAAGATGATACTTCTTGCTTAGACTCAACCAACACCTTAAATTGTATAGTGGTCCTATTAGAAATCTACCAAAAACTGATATGAATATATTTTTATTAATCTACGTACTTGACACTTTTCCATAAGAAGTGATTTCGTATCATCGTATTTTACCATTAGTTTGGATAATTCGTTTAAAATAAGTTCATATTCATCAAATTCGCCACTAAAACTTGTTTGAGTATCTTCTTCTTTTCTAATAGGTTGACTGCAATCACTTTGAATTTCATTTTCATTCACTTGACTTTTGCATTCAACAGAACCTTCAATTCCAAATTTAGTATTTCTGCTATTCATTTGCAAATTGCTTATTTGATCAGATATAACTTTCAATTTCACTTTAGCTAAGTCTAGTTCATCTCTCAGGCTCTGTATCTCGGTCTTACTTTGAGTTAATTTCTCTTTTAGAGTAGAATTCTCTATTTCTACAGCAAGTGTCTTTTCTCTCATTTGGAGATCAACCTCTTCATTTCCTATTAAATTGGCAATTAATTGTATGATAACTATTGTTGTTAAACACCATAAATCAAGATCTTATACCTACCTGTTTTTTGGTCATAGTTACCAGGCTCAGTAGACTTATCTAACGATTCTACCTTGTAATCGATAGAAATTTCTTTTTTGATAATAACCTCTTGATGTTCGTCATCTTTTGGAGAATCATGAGATGTTTCTGAAACCTATTATGTAACAATTTACAATGTAAGTTTTGATTCATAAAATTATTTATATATTATATAAAGTTAAAATTTGGCATACATCATTTTTACATGTTGAGTCTTGAGTGGAATCTTTAATCAAAACTGCTTTTTTCAACATTTGCGCTTCATTTAATAGTTCTAATTTCTCACATCCCAATTTATTTATTATCTGGAGCATATTTTGCATTTTGCGCTCGTAATCCAGCAATTTCTTATTTTGATTTTCTAATTCTTCATCTAATGCCTCTTTTTCTTTACACTCCTTTGTGAGGCAAATATTAATATTTACAAGATCAGCTTCTAAGTCATCTATTGTCTCCTGCTTTTCTAATAATTCTACTTCCTGCTCCTTAATAGTATATTCTTTCTCCCTTATTTCCGTAGTAATAGTAATATACTCTTCCTTTGCTTCATTTAAAAATAGTTTTAATTTCTGAAATAACGTCAATAGAATATAAAATGGAGTATTTATTTACAATCATAAAAAATAATAAATAATCATGTATGCACCTTCACTTGATCCTCTTTAGCAAACAGTTGAGACTTTAATTCTTCTATGTAACATGTTGCCTCTTCACCAGTACAAACATCTTTCTGAGCTGCACTCAACAAATCTTTCATATTGTTCAAATCTTTTTTTATTAAGTCTAGTTCGAAAGATAACTTATTCTTTTCGATTGCCAAAGTTTGATTCGATTCTTTAACTTGCTTCACGTTACTTTTAAGTAGCACAAGCTTTGATGTTAATTGTGAGTTTTGAATCTCCAACTCTTCAATGTTTTTTCTGTCATCAGCATTGTCGTCTAGAATAGACGAACGTTTTCTCTTGTCACAGTTAAGTTCATCCAATCTTTGTTTATAGAAATCTTCAATTTGTTTCACAGACCATTGAAGAATATCTTCATGTCGTTCCTCTACATCGTTTATATGACTCCTGGATCACAATTGATGGTGTAATTTTTAAAATACAATGATTATACTAATGACTTATACAACTTAAGAAGACAAATTATTCTCGATGAATTGTTAAAACTAGTAACATACTTCCATTCAGTTTCAAGGTTTTTCATCATAGCCGTATAAGTATCCGCCATTTCTTGACGAATCTCTAGATCGCGACTTAATGCAGAACTTTTCAATAATTTTATTTTGTCTTTTAGATTTTTATTTTCACAAAGTAACTCATCGTAATCTTCAACGTGAACATAATCAGGTATAGCATGATTATCTCCACCATTATGCAACTCTGCCAAGATGTGTAAAAGTATAAATCAATTGGAAACATATAAGCAATTTTTAAAAATGCTGTACCTTCACTTTCTAATTCTGTAGTATCCCAATCAATTGCTGTTTTTATACTTTCTCTAACTATTTGTGAAAATCTCGACTTTTTCTTATGTACTTTTTGTTTCTGTTCTAAAACTATTTTCTTTGCAATAGCAGCAAAATTCAAAACATTTCGTGTTTCTGTATACAAATTTGGTAAAGGATTGATATTCACTATCAATGCCATACGTTCTCTACCAGAAAGTGCTTTTTGAAACAGTCTTGTTAGTTTTGACTCCCTGAATGGACCAACATGTTCTGGTTTTTGTTTAAATAGCTGCCCGTCATGAATTGTTTTTAAACATTTTCCTAATACCAACAGACTTGTATTGATATTTTGTGCTTCTTTCAATCTATCCCCAATATTCAATGTTTTTTTCAAGCGTTCCGAACCAGCCAAATCGCAGAAAGCAAATCTATAATATTAATAAAAATTATTAGATATACTCTTGGCTAAACATTATATTTAATAAGAAATACTATTGCTTACGTGCTAACTTCAACAGCATTTGGTTCATTCTCAACATAATACTTCAATAATTTGATAGTAAATATGCAATGTGATCTAGAACTTCTTGCATTTAGAGCTGTTGCAGCTACTTTTAAATTATACTGACCAGCCATTAAAACCTGGTAAGCCTCAGAACCAGAATTGACACATACAGTTTTCAGTCCTTTGATAAAAGCTGTACCTTGTGTATCAGTAACTAATTTCAACGGAGTTCTCCTTTTCTGAGTCTCATTCGACAAAAGATCGTAGACAATTTCATTATAAATTTCTGCAAAAGACACCCAAACTGAGTAATGTGCGTCAATGCATTGACTTGGTTTGATTGGTGACTCCTCTTGTAATAAATTTTGCATTTCTGTGTAAGCATTAATATAGTGTTGTTTATCCATCGAAGCAAACGTTAGCAATTTCGTTTTCATTTCTAATTCTTGAGCACGTTCGAGAGGACCCAAACTAACAACGTCACAATGATTCACTGACTTGTAAGAAGGAGACGGTTTTGAAGTAATATTAGAGAAAACAAATTCTAAGCATCTGGGTATAATACCAGGAGACGTAATACTCCCTTGAAGAGTAAATGATTTCCCTGAACTTGTTGTACCTATAAAAGTTATAATACTTGTGTAATAATCAACAATAGAAGTAATCAAGATGTTGATTTCATTTCTTTAAATGTAAACAATATTTAGAAGATATTTTATAGCCTTACCATAAGTCATGATAGTTGAATTCTGACCAGCTAAAAATTCTACCATATGCTGTTTTACAGCTTGATCAAACAGTTCCAATTGAGTAATCTCTGGCCCAAATGTTTGAGTAAATGTAAATTTTCTATGTACAATATCACTACTATTAGATCTTTTCAAAGAATTACTAGTATTATCCACAGTAGGGAGTTTTGTCAGCAGCGTAGTGGAATTCAGAATTTTATATGCCTCCTCTTGCTTCTGTGTTAGTTTGATCTTTTTGGGGAACGGTTTCATTCGTAAGTAGACTTTAATAGTCTGAAACCTCATTGAATCTGAGTTTGTCTCTTCTAAAGAATTAGATTCTTCAATCTCATAAACAGACATTAAATTCTTTTTTGTGTCTTCTGAAATACATGGTCTTTGTCCATAGGCCAAGATACTTGGGTCTCTTCCAAATAAATATGATAATTCATCTTGTGCATTTAGATTACAAGATGGTCTAATGGAATCTAATGTATTATCCATCTATAATGATTAAAAAAATATTAGTTAGAACATAGTTTGGTAATACTTAATGCGGTTAATAATTAATATTATAATTCAAATAATTCATTATAAATTAAAAATTAAATTAATAATTATTAATTCGTAATTAACTGACGTTAGTATTTTATTGTTGATGTAATAAAATTAAAATGTTTAAACATCAATTGAATGAATAATTAACTAGTATAATTCTCTCCATTGAGCTTAATAAATTGAATTTTTCATGATCTGCGACGATTGATTTTTTTAATCAATTAATGTTCAAGTCTAGTGCAAGACTGTTTAATAGTATTCTTTATATAATACTTATTCTTAAAGATATACATACGTGCCTTTTACATTTATAAAATTACAAAAACACTTATAAAATTATACAAAATTTTTAACAATTAATACAAAATAATAATTCACACACGCTTCTTTGTTGACTTGCTCACGATTCGCAAACGGTTAGTGTTTCATTTTGAAATTTTCAATGTGTATACATGAATACATGTGGCGTCACCATTTCCGGTGGGCCCAGAACGAAACGTATCTTTCTTTTTCTCCATGGCTTCCTTTCTCTACAGAACCGACGGCTCTGTTCATGCAAACCATATACATGTGGTGTCACAAACGAGATATTGTATTAGAGTGAACATTTAAACCATTTGTGTTTTGATTTCTAACAATGGGAATTTAGAAACCACATTGTCATTCCCGTGTTGCGAGCAGCGTTATCGATATTTCAGAAATTTAAACTTTTTAGTCAGGAGTGATTATTATGTTTACATATACCGTTTGTATTACGGCACATTTTATGATTTGGAAGTCACAAATTCATACAAACGATGAAAATGCTACCTACAAAATATAATAAACAGCAAAAGTGAAGTTCACTACGAATATTCGTCTGTAATTAACATGATTAATTATACGATTAAAAACGGAAGATATCACAATTATTATATTATAAGGAATCTTTGCACGTCCAGTAAATTTAAAAAGTTAATTGTGCATGATTTATTCCTATACAGGTATGTATCTATAAATAACTAAGTTTGTAGATGTTACAAAGATTTCAATTAATGACCTTAATAATATTTCTGATAGTCTGCACGTAACATATCTCGTTTGTGACACCATATGTATTTGGTTTGCGAATCAAGAGAGGCCGATTCTGTAGATAAGAAACGTGGTGGAAAAGAAAGAAGCGTTTTGTTCTGAGCTCGACGGAAGTGGTGACACCACATATGTATATAAATATAAATATGTACATTGAAAATTTCAAAAGAAAGCACTAATCGTTTGAGTGAATCGTAGGGATAACAAAAAAGAAACGTGTATGAATTATTATTTTGCATTAATTGTTAAAGATTTTGTATAATTTTATAAGCGTTTTTATAATTTTATAATTGTAACAGGCACGAATGCGTACATATATTTAAGAATAAGTATTATATAAAGAATACTATTAAACGGTTAATTATTCGCATTACAGCAAATCATAAATTATTCTTGGACTAAGTTTGAGCATTAATTGATTAAAAAAAGTCAATCATCAAAAATCATGAAAAATTTAATCGATTAAACTCAATGGAGAGGATTTAATTTTATTCAATCAACAATTCTCTAAGATTCAAATTGTTCTTTAAAAAACTTAAAAAACTTTAAAAACTTAATCGTAGTCGATTATTTTGTTTTTGCTCGTATCACCTGGGTCGGTGATAAGTACGCTCGCGCGACGCTAGTTTTTGTACACAGCGTCGAGCTCAGCTGTCGAGCTCGACGACGGACCGAGCGAACGACTTGCAGAAACATACACAGAACACCCGTCTGTTTATATCGTTGTGATGTACAATGGCCCACGAAAGTGTTCGTACATCTTTTAAAACGCAATAAACTAGATGATAGAGTGACTAGTCTACTAGATGATAGCTAAAAAGCTTTTTTTTAATTTTGCTATTACATACTTGGAATGAAGAGAAAAAATTAAAAACCCTTGTTTTTTAACCTTTTTATCCGAGCCTATAACGAAAATTTAAAAAATTCCTTTTGTAGACTCATATCTTATATGATAACTTATATCCGTGCTGAAAATTTGATCGAAATCGGTCAACTCAGAGTCGAGCTACACGCGTTGAAATATTTTAAAAACTGCAGATTTCTTACAGTTTTTGGTCAAAATCGTGATAAAACTGCAATTTTTGCGATCTTTAATTTGTTGTAGCTTGTAACGATGTGAACCGATTTCGATGAAATTTTCAACATGCATGTAAGTTACCGAGATCGACGAAAGCATTTTTTAAATTTTCGTTGTAGGCTCAGATAAAAAGTTAAAAAACGAGAGATTTTTTTGTCATTACATAATAAAAACATAAAAAAAGATCATTTCAGTCACCGTCTAGTAAACTAGTCCTTTTATTATCTAAAAACACACAATTCGAGTCATTTAGTTCAGTTTTAAAATAGTTATGGCGTTTTAAAGGTGTACGATCACTTTATTGGCCACCGTACTTGTCGCCTAGGCCGTCCTTTCAATAATCCCAATATCAAATCCGTTATCTATTTTCCAGTGTCTCCCATGCAGCACTGTTCGTTAGGGCATTGCTCTCGTTCACTATATCGAACGTTCGACGCTGCCTAGTCTTCCCAATATTAAAAAATCTCATTCCTTGTTCCTACTTGATGGTCCATGATATAATTTGTAATACCCCTCTGCGCTTGCAACTGTCGTTATAGCTTTGCAATTTTGGTAGATCGCTCAATCATACCATCAGAGCGCTTCACGATACATATTCTTCGGTTCATTTCTACATTATGCTATTCTCATCTTTATCGGCTTGTTATTTCTTCACGTGTATTTCTCCTCTGTTTACTTAAAGATATTTCGTTATCTCATTTTTCATATAGTCCACTTTACCACTCTATCAATCCTTTCCTTAACAACAATAAAACGTTAACGTAAGTTAATTACAAATTAATATAATGAATTATTTAATGTATAATATTAATTATTACCCGCATTAAGTATTATCAAACTATATTCTGAAGTATTATAGATTAATATGATAATGATCATAACTAATATTTTTTTAATCATTATACATAGATGGGTGATACATTAGATTCCATTAGACCATCTTGTAATCTAAATCCACATGATGAAGAGACCCAAGTATCTTAGTCTGTGGACAAAGACCATGTATTTCAGAAGACACAAAAAAGAATTTGATGTCTGTTTATGAGATTGAAGAATCTAATTTTTTAGAAGAGACAAATTCAGAGTCAAAGAGTTTTCAGACCATTGAAGTCTATTTACGATTGAAACCATTTCCCAAACAGATGAAACTAACACAGGAGCTAGAGCAGTCATATAAAATTCTGAATTCCACTACACTGCTGACAAAACTCCCTACTCTGGATAATACTAGTAGTTTTTTGAAAAGATCTAATAGTAATGATATTGTACAAAGAAAATTTACATTTACTCATACATTTGGACCAGAGATTAATCAATTGGAACTGTTTGAACAAGCTGTTAAACAGCAAATGGTGGATTTTTTAGCTGGTCAGTATTCAACTATCATGACTTATGGTAAAGATATAAGATATCTTATAAATATTGTTTATATTTCAAGAAATGAAACCAACATCTTGATTACTTCTATTATTGATTATTACACAAGTATTATAACTTTTATAGGCACAACAAGTTCAGGGAAATCATTTACTCTACAAGGGAGTATTACTTCTCCTGGTATTATACCCAGATGCTTAGAATTTGTTTTCTCTAATATTACTTCAAAACCGTCTCCTCCTTACAAACCAGTGAATCATTGTGATGTTGTTAGTTTGGATCCTCTCGAACGTGCTCAAGAATTAGAAATGAAAACGAAAGTGCTAACGTTTGCTTTGATGGATAAACAATACTATATTAATGCTTACACAGAAATGCAAAAGTTATTACAAGAGGAGTCACCAATCAGATCCAGTCAATGCATTGACACGCATTACTCAGTTTGGGTGTCTTTTGCAGAAATATATAATGAAATTGTCTACGATCTTTTGTCGAATGAAACTCAGAAAAGAAGAACTCCGCTGAAATTAGTTAATGATGCTCAAGGTACAGCTTTTATCAAAGGACTGAAAACTGTATGTGTCAATTCTGGTTCCGAGGCTTATCAGGTTTTAATGGCTGGACAATATAATCTAAAAGTAGCTGCAACAGCTCTAAATGCAAGAAGTTCTAGGTCTCATTGCATATTTACAATCAAATTATTGAAGTATTATGTTGAGAATGAACCAAATGCTGTTGAAGTTAGCATGTAAGCAATAGTATTTCTTATTAAATATAATGTTTAGCCAAGAGTATATCTAATAATTTTTATAAATATCACAGATTTACCTTCTGCGATTTGGCTGGTTCGGAACGTTTGAAAAAAACATTGAATATTGGGGACAGATTAAAAGAAGCACAAAATATTAATACAAGTCTATTAGTATTAGGAAAATGTTTAAAAACGATTCATGACGGGCAACTGTCTAAACAAAAACCAGAACATGTTGGTCCATTTAGGGAGTCAAAACTAACAAGACTGTTTCAAAAAGCACTTTCTGGTAAAGAACGTATGGCATTGATAGTGAATATCAATCCTTTACCTAATTTGTATACAGAAACACGAAATGTTTTGAATTTTGCTGCTATTGC